GGGGGCGCATGTGGGGGTGTTGGTGGGGTTATTGGGCGTGGGGTGCCGACGACCCCCAACCGGTAGGTGCTGACAACTCAAGGGGCGCCAGTGACGCTGAATAGTGTTTAGGCCTTTTTTTTTTTGCGCGCTCTTCTTTGGTTATCATGAGCAGTCTGGGCAGTGTTCCTGCACCAGCAGTTTGTCCTTATTGTGGGCATGCCAGGGAGATAATTGGCCGAAGGCGCCCACGCCAAAATATTTTTGGTTTTGGGCGCCCAAACCTTTCCGGGTTGGCAAAAAGCGCAACAGGGGCCCCCGGATGCTGTAATCTGGCGGCCAAGATCGGGTCCGACCACTGCGTCCCTTCCTACCAGATCATGAACCCGGCCCTGTATCTGGGGCCATGTTCATTTTCTGGTAGGCGTATCTGGCCAAATGGGAACGGTTTGGGGGCCCGAAACCAAAAAGGTCTTGGCGTGGGCGCCTGCCGCCAATTATCCCCATGCCAGGTGTGTGGACACTCTGTCTTTCTCTGTATGCATGTGGGGTGTTTTGCCCTCTTCCACGGGGGCGTCGGGCTCTTAGTCTTTCATGTTGTCTTTTCTTCCGTGCATAGCCCCAAGTTCTGTTTTAAATTGAAAGCACACAGACACACACACACATGGAGAGAGAGAGAGAGAGAGAGAGAGAGAGAGAGAGAGAGAGAGAGAGAGAGAGAGAGAGAGAGAGAGAGAGAGAGAGAGGCTGTTGTGTGTGTGGGTGGATGTTTGCAGATGCGAAGATCCGTATTAGAAACAAAGTGTTTGACATTAGATTCGTCAACATACAACTGTCTACATAACAACCCCTTTTCCACCCAGTTGAGTAGATCCGGAGTCGAAGCAAACTGTTCGACCTGACAACCTTCTACAGTAAACATCATAAAGCACATAAAAACCGTGATGTTGCTGTGTCGTCATCCAGTTTTGTTTTTTCCCATTATAGAGCCTTTTCCTTATGCTTACACAGCTCGTTCTCTGTCCTCCCTTCTTTTTTATGTCTTCTTGCTGGTTCGTTTGTACTGTGCCTCTTCCGTACAAGGCTTGCCACGTTGACGTGTGTTGTCATGTTCACTATACACAACTCCACATAAAAAAGCATCACTGTTCCACACTGTTTCGTCGGACTGTCACTGAATCATCAGGAAGTTGAACCCCGGCAGTCTGCCCACAATGCGTTTGACTGATGGACAAGTACTCACCACGTCGCCCAGAGTTAGCGATACTCACCACGTCGCCCAGAGTTGGAGAGAAAAGTGGTCAACTTTACTCACACCAACCAACCCTGCAATCCTAGCAGACTGTCGGTCCAAACCCCTGAAGAGAGCAGCAGTGAGTCTCAGAAACGACTCTGTCACAGCCATAAAACCCACTATATGTGCACGCGTGTGTAATCTGGGTGTTGATTTTGCGTGTGTGTGTGTTGTCAAAGAACCCCTATGTGTGCATGCGCGCGTGTGTAATCTGTCACAGCCATAAAACCCGCACTACACACTGATTTTGTGTATGCGTTGTGAGAGAACCCCTATTTGTGTGTGTGTGCGTGTGCGTGTGTGTGTGTCGTCATATTTGCTATACACAACTGTGCGTGCTTGTGTGTGTGTGTGTGTGTGTGTGTGTGTGTGTGTAACCGCAGTAACATGGCGCAACATGTCACCTTTTTGCTTGTGAGCCTTGTTTTAGTCCCCCAGCGCAGCAACTTCAGGTAACCACATCACCTCATACCTGGTAACTATGGTTACCACGATAAGTTGGTCAGTGTGGTGACCATAGTTACTCACCTCACCGTGACCAAGGTAACTCCTCGTAACCGCGGTACATTGGTAACCATGGTAACATGTGACAGGTAACACAGACAGGTAGACATGTCTCTCATGTTTGCCAGGTGATCAAGGTAACACTTTGTGTTGCGACCATGGTTAATCTGTGCCAGCCCGCCAGGCAAGCACAGTAAGTTTTCAACTTTTCATTTTTGGATGAAAAACTAGGGGAGTTACTCAATACTCATATGATGCAAAGCAGCAAGTCACTAGAACAAAAGCAACATAGACCAAATATATCTTAGAACGAGGCCGCTGGTTGTGGACTGCGGCAAGGGGGAAGAGGAGGGAAGGAGGGAGAGGGCCAGCCTGGTCGGATGAAGGATTGTTCTAAGTGTCATTTTACCTTGATGCAGCCACGTCGCCAAAGTGCAGGATACTGAAATGCCACGGGATGAGCGGGGGTGCCATTGTCGACGGCAAATGGAACGGCAAGGCTGGTAGGCAGCAGGACAATGAGGACCACCAGGGACCATCAGGGTAGCCCCACACAAGGCAGACCAAACAAGCAACAGCCAAACAACATATGTGAACATACTGAAACAATGAAAAGAGGGAAAAAAACAAACAAAGAAAGCAACGAAATGGAGGCCGACAACTGCAGAGCAGGTCTTGCACATGTTTAGGTCTTCCCCCCCCCCCCGAAGGCGGTAGCCCTGTGTTTCCTTGTAATGTTGTGTACAATGTACATTTGATTTCATTAGAATTGAAACTCGTGCTCTGTTTACCAACACCTACATGTCTGTACACTTCAGCCACAAGGGCTGGGTAGGTCTGGCATGTCATATGGCACAGGCCCACGGGGGGTGCAAAAATTTACATACGCTTATGACTATGGGCCTCGCTGCACTACTCTTGAAAGGTGCAAAACGACAGTGAATCTTCCGCTAGAACATGGAAAGATACAGGGACATGATTTTTGTCTTTCGTGCATTTCAAGAGTAGTGCAGCGAGGCCCTATGGCTCATTGCTATTCATAGGTGTCCATCCATAAGTGTAGGGCAGAACAGAAAGCAGACAGTTCCACAACAAAGGAAAAAAAGAAAAGAAAAGAAAAAAAAGAAGAGACATGAGGACAGAACATGAAAAGATGTGGAAAGCAGCTAAGTCTCTGCAAAATAGGATGAGAAATTGACGGTGTAATTGCCCGATCCATGATCCCGGCAATAAACCACACCAAAACAAAAAATCTGGAAAATTGAGAAGAGGATAAGTCTCGGTGTTTTGCTTTTTCCGAATAAGGATTTCTGAGGTCACTCAGCCAAGAGCCTTTTGCAAATTTGCACTGCAATTCTGCACAATATTTTGTTATTCGAACTTATTCGGATTATTCCACAATTTCAAAAATTTTTACGTGTTTTTTTCCCCGCTGGGGATGCCCAGGAGTCCTGTTGGGGTTGTTTCTGCTCAGCCGCGTGGCCCGGCCTGTGTTCAGGCATGACAGTCATTGCCGGATGAGGTCTGCTAACCTAAGTTAATTTCCATTCCTGTCATTTCCTGATGATTTCTTCCATTAACAGCTACAGGTACTGACGGTGGAGGAAGCAAACGAAAGCGGCAAGTTAACACCAGATAAATAAAACATCATAAATGATAGATAAATTTAAGATAACTTTTGACAAAATTAAATTTCGGATAAATTTTGATAAAATTAAAAATGACATGAATGCAAAATTGCAAACATCCGTTAAAATTGGAACGACACAGAGAATGAAGACCTTTTGGGTAAGATCAAGTGTAGTATCTGTTCTGATCAGTTTAATATCTGATCCGTGGTCCATCGGGCCACATATCAAAAAAAAAAAAAAAAAAAAAAAGATTAGCATGGTCCCTGTAAGGATGACATCATGACACACAGAAGTCCAGAAATGGTCCTTCAAAAGGCTCGTAATGAAAAATTAAACAAAAAAGAGAAGAAAAAAAGAAAAGAAAAAAAGAAAAGAAAAAAAGAAAAGAAAAAAAGAAAAGACAAAAAGAAAAGAAAAAAAGAAACAAAGAAAAAAAGATGAAACGGTATTCACCAGTTCGCAGTAGCTGATGCAGATCCCAGGGCTCGATCCCTAGTTCCCACCTTACCTGTGTACAGTATCTGTGTCGACCCCTAGAGTTGAACCCGTGACCTGTGTATTTGCAACAGCTGGTAGGTTGTCGTAGGGTCCATAGGTAGTAGGGGTTCGATCTGTAGACCTGTCGAGTAGGAGTTCCAGTCAGGTCTAGCAGTCGTAGCTGCTACAATCCAGAAAGCTCAAGGTCGTAGCTGCTACAGTAACGAAAGGCCAAGTCTACGGCCTTCCGGAAGGCCGTAGACTTGGCCTTTCGTTACTGTAGCAGCTACGACCTTGAGCTTTCTGGATTGTAGCAGCTACGACTGCTAGACCTGACTGGAGCTCCTACTCGACAGGTCTACAGATCGAACCCCTACTACCTATGGAAAGATATGGTTGCTTATAAAAAGGCGGAACAACAGATGGAAGAGTTTTGGGGGGGTACTAAGGGAATAACGATAGAAACTTAAAAACAAAACAAAAAAAAAAAAAAACGTAGACTAATAAAAACTTAAAAAAGAGAAAACACAGGATGACGCAGGAAATATGTATATATGGAACAGAGGATAGTAAAGGAAATGCTGGTGCCATAGATACAACATACACAATGGGGAATACAGAATACAGAATACAGAATACAGAATACAGAATACAGAATACAGAATACAGCTACAGCTGGCTTAACCACCGCAGTGGTGACACTGAGTACGGGTGTACTATACAGTGCCCGATGGTATATTAGGATGGACCCGAGGGAGGTTAACAAAAATCTCGAATGGCAGACTGTTGGGGCCGGGAGGTGCTGAGAGTGAGCAAGGAGCTTGAACGATAGTAAGCACACATGGAACTAGATACCAGATGGAGACGATGTAGGCATATTAAGAAATAGTGAAGGACTGGCATGCGTCCTGAAGGGCTTCTCAGAATGCCCCCCTCCGGTGCCATGCCCCCCCTGACGGCTGCTCTACTGCGTGTGTGGGTGCTGCTAGTAAGCCCCCCGACCAGTAGAACAGCTGCCGAGGAGGGATCCAGGTTGGGGGATGGGCGCTCTGTAGCAGTCCCCCCTTGTTCAGGTGTCTAGTGCTGCTGCAAGGGCTAGGCTGGCCCCCTCTTCTTATCTTTTCTCTTCACTACGCTTGTGTAAAACATGCTTGCCGGTGATAAGCAACCGGACTGACACCCCCCAGAATAGAAGTTTTTTTTTTTTTTTTTTTTTTTTTTTTTTTAAATCCGAAGGCGAAACAATTTTGTTGTCCACGCAGGGAGCAAGAAGATCTGGCTGCGGTGCCGACTGCTGCAGACGGCTGATGCAGTTTTTAATCAGCTGCTGTTCGACAATAGGTTCATCTGCGATGGGGCCGGCAATCCGTTCCCGTGGCGGGGCCCCCAAGGAGCATATTGATGGAAATGGGTCACACAGGGAATCTACAAAGTATGCCACCTGTGGGATGAACAATGCACGGATTGGCGCCTGTGGGATGAAGAATGCACGGGCAAATGAGACGGAGGCAAAGTGTGGCAGAGCTGCGGAAGGCTGTCCCCCCTCATTGGGAGGACTTATTAAGAAAGGACGAACTGACTGGGGCAATGGGTGAAGATGAAGGGGGAGGTGAGACCAGAGAGAGTATACAGAGTCAAGCAGGTACTGGCCGATGGAAGAATGGAAGTCACTGGATGGCTGGCGAACTGGGGGTATGAAGGAGTGGGGGCACCCCTGCAGAAAGTTGGCACATATGAAGGAAGCCCTCCCAAAAAAAGTGGACACGAGCATCGTCAAAACCATGGCGGACTTTCAATGAAGCAGAAGAGCAGGGGGACAGCAGGGCCGGACCTTTTGGGCAAGATGGGACCCAACTGCTCAGTCGAGATCCTGACATGGGCCATATGCAGTTCGGCCCCATCCTGATGCGCTACAGGCCCTCCCCAGCAACGGAGAGGGAATCGGATTAAAGACTGCTTGGACGATTTGTACTGTAGTCAGGAAGGATGAGTAGAGTTGATAGTCTAAGGAAGGTAGTTGTGCTATATTAGGGAGGTAGAATGGAAGGGAGTAGGCACAGAGGAAATGGGTAGGTCGGGATGGGGGGGAAGGGGAGAGCACTTGGAATAAGAACACCAGGAAACTTGGGGATAGCTGAAGCACCGAAAACAGTGTACACAGTGCAACACAAAAAATGCTGGGGCCAGGAATACCCCGAATATCGGGGGAAGACACAACGACTCGTACGGTGAGTTGCATAAAGAACGTAGAAAGCTTGTATATAACACGTATGGGGGCACACCTAATACTTTTGGGAATGGTGGGGATAGTGCAGACAGGAAACTAATGGGAATAAACCAGTAGGCAGGCAACATGAGGTGTGAAGGGCTCACGAGAGACATAAGGCTTGTTCATGAGAGAGATCATAAAGACTGGGGATGATAGTGTGGCTGACAAGCGGTCGAGGGACCGATGAGACCCCCCCCCCCCCCCCCACTTCTCCCCCCCTCCGCCCCCCGTGCCCTGCCCTCCCGGGGATTACCCTGCTGCGTGCCTGGGTTCTGCTAGTAAGCCTCCCGACGTGCAAGGCAATCCCTGAGGGTGGGTCATGGATTGGGGATGGGGCGGTCCATAACAGCCCCCCCCTTGCTTAGGCGGCTCGTGCCACAAGGGTAAGGCTGTCCCTTCTCTTTTCTTGTCTTTTCTCCCTCATTACTTGTAAAACAAGCTTGCCGGTGATAAGTGACCGAATTGACGCCCCCCAGAATAGAAGGGGCTGTGTGTTGTTGTTTAAAAAACTAACAAACAAACAAACAAAAAAAAGGCGAAGCAAATTTCAGCTTCTCATCACATTACCTGATGGACTCTGCTAATGCGATGTCATCTACAGCTACATGCATTGGTGGTTGACGAAGCGTGTGAAGTCCTGCCAGTAGCTCCAGAGGACTCGCATCTGCAACAAGACCATGTGCGTCGCTGTTAGTATAAAAAAATTAAAATTGAGCAAATGAAAATTGAACCCTAGTTGAATGGGCAGAGTCCATACAGCTCAGCATTGTGCTTCTTCCCAGGAGGCAACAAGTCAAAAGTCTCAACACCATGCATAGAGGCAGTCTGGTGAGTCCATCAAACAGAGCCAAGATCCGTACCCGCCCGCATTCCTCTCCTCCCCCCTCCCTCTCCCAACTCCTCCCTTTGATATACAACCAAACCATACATCATGTGAATGCCTGCACCCACTTTGCACCCACTTTGGTCATCAACATCCACTGCTACAAAACAGTTCATGAGATCAGGCTTCCTCATCACCATACGGCTGATAACAGCGTTGCTCATCCATGTCAAATCAGGCACCATACCTACTACACTGTACTGTTTTCCCCATCATTTATGTCAAATCAGCCACCATATCTACTACACTAGACACTACAGTATCCCCCCAACACGGCCATCGTGATTATGAATATATACAAGGTATCTTTCGGGGCCAATACGGTCGTGATGACGGTGCGTTACGTTCTGGGAAAGACAGTAGTAGAAAGTAGAGGGCGGGCCCCATAAGACGCCACTCGGAAGACGTGGGGAACCAGTCGGCCTAGTACTCAGGTGTCCCATCCTTTTTTTTTCCTCATGCAGTGCTTTGAGGCCTGGTCTTTTCTGTCTACCTTGACCTCATTGGAGTCGCAGCCAAGGTTTTCCTGTGGTTTTCGGGCACGTGCCGACTCATCTGTTTATTACTTCGTGTGTGCTCCTTGAGTAGGTGGTGTCTTGCCCTTTTTTTTTCTTCACGCAGTGCTTTGAGGCCGTGTCTTTCCTTTTACCTCGGCCTCATTGGAGTCGTACCCTGCGTTTTCTTGTTGTTTATGGACTTGCGCCGGCTCATGTGTTTAGTACTTTGTGCTTGCTCCTTCGATATGTCCAACATGGACATGCATGTCCTGACCTAGTGCAGGGCTGGAAATAATGTTTTTTTTCTCTGTGGGTTTGCCGCCATACACACGTCCCAAGCCTGCATGGGACCATAGTTGTTTCTCTCTTTCGCTGTCTCAAGCCAGGCCCAAGGGCGCTGTAATTCTAGAACATAGTCAGCCCGCTTTGCGTGGAGCCTCAGTTGCATTAGATTCTGCAGTGCGCCATCATTCAAAAGTACACAGCCGTTCAAACTTCAAACTCATTGACACTGGCCCCGTGATGAATAACCTGATGGCCAGAGCGCACAGTACCACCTACCCCACATAGTACCACCAAGTGCACATGATACCCTCCAGTCCACATAGTACGAACCACACCACCTACCGTCTTCCCCCGAACACAACACACCCTCATTTTGACTGCATCAGTTTGGGAAGACGGCTTGCATACGTTCATTTTCAGCGTGCGTTATGTTCGGGGGAAGACGGTAGTACTACCCACCTCGCATACTACCTCACAGACCGACCAACCAGTCCACATTGTACTGCCCATGGTCAGCCCACATAGCACCACCAAGTGCACATTATATCCTCCAGTGCACATACTATGAATCACCACACCTAGTACTACCCACCTCACATAGTACCTCACCCGCAGACCACCCGGTCAGCATGGTACTGCCCAGTAACGCTGACCCCATGATTGATAAAACCTGATGGTTTCAAAAACACAGTCACCCCGCTTCATACCACCTACCCCCCGTAGTGCGACCCATCCAATCCTGCATGGTACCGCCCACCTCACATAGGCCCCTGCACACAGACCAGCCAGTGCACATGATACGACCGTCTTCCCCCGAACATAATGCATATGCGTTGTATTCGAGTTTTCAAAAAAAATCAAAAATCCGAAAAGAGCGCCTACACACTGTATTCGAAAATAAGGACTGTTCGAATAAAACACATGTGCGTTGTATTCGAATAGAGAGCATCGTATGCGTTGTATTCATTTACATTGCAGATGCGTTATGTTCCGGGGAAAGACGGTAGCCAGTCCACATACCACCACCCACCCCACAATGCCACCCACCCCACACGGTAGCACTTAGTGGTCAACGTGCTTTTTCCTTTTGCACTCTACGGGGTCATGCCTTTTTTTTCTTTTCATGTGCATGGGGGTTCGTCCACTCTTTTGCGGGCAATGGTCGCATGGTGTTCAACGTAGCAGCAGGGCGCCCATGTGCACATAAGCTTCTGAATTCGAACTAGGGTCTGTATGTCAACAGTTCATGGGTGTTCCAACTGAGCTACACATGTTGGTAGAAGTTTTTCTTTTCTGGTTTCACGAAAGTTTTCATATCCGGCAACCTTTGAATAATCAATTTCAGTCTCATGCGTAGTTCCCGAGCGAGGGCATGATGTTTCTGTCCCAGTCTGCTGAAAGCGATACCAAAATCAATTTAGAAAATGCAGTAGTGGACAAACATGGCACAAGAGAGAGAGAGAGAGAGAGAGAGAGAGAGAGAGAGAGAGAGAGAGAGAGAGAGAGAGAGTAGTGTGGTGGCCACCTACTGGTGCTGTCCAGCTGGAACTGGGCTCCAACCTTGAGCAGCAATTTCACTGCCTCCACGTTTCTACACAGCACCAAGGGACGCGAAAATTCAAAATGGTGAAGCAGGTTCGCATGGCATTAATGACAGAAATTGAACATGTCATTAAGACTTAAAATAGTTAAAATTTTAAAATTCACATTTCAAACCTCGAACATCAAACATGAGAGAGGAAATGTCATTCCCAAAATTGCCAGTAGCAGCCCAGATGTACATACACTGCAGCAGCAGAACTCATGACCAAACTCACAGAAGAATGTCCTACAGTTTTTTCCTCAACGGAACACACCCTGATTACTTGAAAGCTCCGAGCCATGTTACCTAGTAATACATTCATGATGAGAGTGCATTGTGTCATGTTTCCTGGTTCGATACAGTCATGATGAGAGTTCATTGTGTTCGGAGGAGGAGGGCAATGTGAATATGCCAAGACTCACTTCAAGGCTGACCTTCGCAAACACCGTTTCCGAGCTTCACAGCATCTCATCAGAGTATCGCTGAGCTAGGCTACCAGCCGGGCCGCCCGGATCACCTTGTTTACCCGGGCTGCCCGGACGTGCAAGGACCACAGAAGGTCCCAGCAAAAAGAAAAAGGAAAAAAAAACAATTCTAAAAATGTAAAATTCTGCCCGGCTACACAAGACATGTAGCCCCAGTAAGAACAGGCAGGAGAAAGAGGGTTTTATTACTGGGGAGTCTGGGGCTCAATAGATTCAGGGAATCAGGGACTGATTTGGAGGTGTGGATGGAGCGGAGGGGGTAGAATCATTGGGAGACAAAGTCTGACAGACCGATTTCTTTTTTTCTCTCACCAAAACTCAGTCATTTCATCAACAATAAAGACCATTGAGGCTGGGGTCCTCACAGTCTACCTGGGATAGAAAGATACTGGCAAGACAAACTTCACTTGGTCAGGCAAAGCTGTTTCTCAATCTCCTTTATTTTTTGGGTAGGAAAGGACTCTGGGGAAATCTGTTAAATTGGAACGATACAGAGAAGGGACCTGCATGAAACAGTTTTCACCTTTGGCACTAGCCGATGCAGATCCCAGGGGTCGATCCCTTGACCTCAGCTTACCTGTGTACAGTATCTGCACAGTTCCCTGGAATTGAACCCGTGACCTGCATGATAGCCAGTGGTAAGTAGGTCGCCGTAGGTTGTAGGCTGTAGGGAGATTCGAACTGTAGACCTGTAAGGTAGGAGTCCAAGTAGAGTCCAGAGGCCTAGCTGTATTCTTTTTTGAAGGTCGGCAAGTGGTCAAATGGTGAGTCTAAGGTAGGCCCACGTTTTCAGACGAAGACAAGTGGCAAAGTCAACAGGTAGGACCTCAGTGCAACTGCACTGAGTCGACGGTACGACTGCCTACAG